AATTGACCACCTGGGAAACAAACAAACAAAAAAAGTTATCCTTCAGAGAACCAGTGCAACGGTTTCTCACAGTGCTCACATCTCTGTGACAAACGGGATTTTCAGCTCCATTCTGTGTAGTTTGTTGAGACCTCTGAGATGTGTTTTTACAGAGGAATCTGTATAATTACTTAGACAGCCAGAAAAAAAACAGATTTTTTTTTTTTCCATGACAGATAAGAGATACCCGGAAAAACTATATGCACTGCTGAGGCAAAGCTCTGGTGACTCCCAACGAGTTCCTTTACAAGGTGAGAACTGTTTGTTCTATGACTGTTATAATTACCATTACTGCCCTGGGTTTGTCCCAGCGGCTGTTTGAAACCTTCATGGAATATCATGTTATTAATTAACCTTGGTACTATATATATATGTGTGTGTGTGTGTGCGTGTGTGTGAAGTGCGAAAGACCTTTCACCCAGCAAGTGAATGAGTGCAGCAGGAAGTTCAAAACGGCTTAACATCTGTGTCAGACGGTACATGACTGGTCAGTAAAACCTTTTTTTTTTTCCCTTCAGAAATTCACGTCGTTTTGTAACGTCCTACACCACTCAGATAATGGCAGATGTTCATCACCATACAGGACCTTCATTCGCGGGTCAACTTTTGTAGGTTTCATCCCTGAACTGGTCGAAAAACAGATTAGAGAACGCTGGGGCTCTTTAGTGTATGCCAAAAGTGGGGTGGTCATCTTTAAACTCTCCTTTTGATGTCGCAGTGTTCGTCTGTTCTGTTATGTCAGGTGCTTAACACACTTGACATCCTCAACGATAATATTGTAAGGTTACAAAAGAATGGCGTGGTTAGCGTAATTTATATTACCCTTTTAAGGTGTGTTTATAAGCACCCTTGTTTTTGTGCCAGTTGACACTTGCTTTTTCTTATTCTTCTACGTTCGCCTGCAATAAATTTTGGCAGGAAGTCTTCTTTGTTCGCTCATGTCTTGTCGTCGGTCTTGTATCAGGACGTGAGTACAGTAAAATTTCGGCTCCCGAACTAAAGTTGGTTGAAAACCAAAATGATTTCCCTTATTATAATTATTTTTAACGTGTATGATACGTGTGAGCTACGTGTGTTTTTCGTTGGCACAGGCGCGGAGCAACTATGGGGTGACCCGTTTGCTATGAAGCTGAAACTAGGATTACCAGATTACCAGATTTTTTACGGATTAATTGGTTTCCCAGCTCTTGATTATTGTTATGTTTTAACTTTTATAATTAAATGTATACATACAACTGTAAAGAAATGCAATGAAGATGCATACAATTATATTACAAAATAGAATAATCTTCTTCGCTGTAAACTCTGTTGGAAAGTTCTGATTGTTTATCCGCTTGTGGTCTTTCGACGTGTTCCAGAACCTGAAAGATGTTTGCACAACTATGTTACAGATTTGACTTATGTGTATGCAGATTGTTGGTTCCTTGCCTCTCAAGCAAATGTACTCTTTCGAAGGAAGCCCCAACTCAGTCGAATCTTTCGACATGCTTATCGGGGAGGCAGTGGGTCTATTCCTATTTTCTCCATAATGGGGTCTCAGAACCCACACGGCAATTACAAAACAGAAATAGCTAAATAGACAGATCAATAAATAAAATTTATAAAAACCTTAGTAGTCCCCTTGTGGGGTGCAATTTTTCGTTATTTCGCAAGGGTCGCAATATAGTCCGGCCATTAATTTGGCCTAATGGCTGAACGTAGTTTCTGGGACCACTCGACGGCTGATCCTCTTCCACATGGTGGCACTTTGTGTTATCGGGTGTTTATCGCTTGTGTGATGTCCTGGTGGGGTAAAAGTACTACTACTACTAACATTTAAAATTATCTAGCCATCCTCTTGTGGGGTGCAATTTTTCGTCTTTTGAAGCCCTACTCTGGCTCTAGGCATTAATGGTTGCTACGACTATAAAATGTACTAAGGTGAACAGAAATAATTATAAGTGTGTTTTCTGTTTTAGAGGAATGATTGAGGCACACCTAAGAGAAAGGGACAGTTCTGGTGAAAACGGGACGTGTGGTTACCCTACCTAGACCCTGGTTTGGAATCTCTAGGATAACCACTGGAGTTGAGCTGTATTCAGTTAAATCAAGAACTGACATCATAGCACTCAGGAGCATTCCCATACGCGCTCTGTCCCCATCTTCAGAAGCAAGCGCAGAGTTCCAATACTAATGGCACCGGTTATTGTCTGGTTATATGTCCGTCTTGCTCTCCTCTGGGTGTACTGAGCCGGCCAGACCCTTTGGCCACACCCAGGTGCATCATTTTCTGCAGGCTATAATAATCCAGTCTCTCTTTCGATTCCCAAATGGCCTTAACCGCATCTGCCTTGTCATGCATCAATTCACCACCCAGGATAATGTGTAGATAGGTATCGCTTGGGTCCTTTTCCACATGTGCTGGTAAACCTCTGCATCCCACACTTGCTCATGTCACCCGTTCCAATTACCTTAATTTTGTATGTCCACAGATCGGCCTCGAAGGGTTCGGATAAATGAAAAGCATGAACGATCACCGGAAAGGGAGAGACCCTTGCAGCTGTTAGAGCCATCCGAGAGAGGTTTTTGTGTGTTTTTTCATCTCTGTCATTAAGGTTAAAGGTCAGAGACGGGAGGATCGACTTCATTGCAGTGGTTTTTATCCCATATGGCTAGGTTTCTCTAGGCAGAACGGCTAGCCGCCTGCAGAGCATTGCACAGAGCACGAACTATGTAGCTCCGGTGACGATCCGCAGGGATTACCGTAAAAAATTGCACTCGTGAACTGAACACCCATGAAACGAACCCAGGACCTTCAGAGCATGAAGACAAACGGCTTGACCACCTCGCTACGAAGACCCCCTATCTCCGCCATTGCTGGTCGCTAGTCCAGATGAGAGCAGAGCATGACGGCTTGAGGATAGCTCCCTAACTCTGTAACAATAACATTGCTACAGAAACTCGCCGAAAAGGAATGGACCGAAGAAAAGGTGGGCCTTCCTAGAAAAGCTTTACAAAGAACATTAGTTAGAGAAGATAGAGGTTCTAGACCTGTCCGCATCTCTGATATCGAAAGGACTGTACTGTAGAGAACAGATGGAATGCAGGAACAGACTTCAAGTCCTATGTGATGTGTTGAATGTTGAAAGTTGAATTGAGAATCTACATCACAGCACTCGAGACACTCCTTTTAGCGTTTCGTCCCCATCTTCGGCAGCAGGTGAAGAGTTCCAGTTCCGATGGCACCAGTAACCGTTTGATTGTATATCCGTCTCATCCTTCCCCCTAAGTCTTGAGCGTCGGCCAGATCCCCTTGCAGTGCCATTTTTCCCAGACCGTAATGATCTATCTGCGCCTCCGCACTGTTCACTCGTTCCCAGAGGGCCCTTACAATATCTAGCTTGTCATACAACAGTTCACCACCAAGTGGTGCAGAGCTAGCCAGTCTATCTGTCTGCTCATTTCCCCCAAAAAGCGGCATGACCTGGAGAAAATATCCAAAGGATCTTAGCTACCCAGGACCTCTGAAGTGATGCTTGCCACTCTGCACGAAGAATGCCTGTCTTCACCTTTCTTAACATGCTCTGTGAGTTTGTTACAATGACAGCATGTCAATTCTCAAGATAGCGGAAGGCAGCAGAGACTGCCTTCACCTATGTGATATATAATGTCATAAATGGATGACGATAACAACGATTATGTGACGATGATGATGATGAATCCCATCCTAGCTAGACAGATGCGTGCAGAAGATTCAGGATTTCATGTATCATTGCTCTGGTCTGCCTACACCCGTCCATCAAATCAAAGCAGTGCGTAACCACCAAAGCATCAATACCAAAGTTTGTGGATTGAACCAAACGTACAGAATTTTAGATCAAAACAAGGTTATTCATCTTTGATGGTTCGGCTCGATTTTATTTGTATAGAATCACTTTTACCGCACTGTGATATCTCTATGGTTGTCCTAATGGGCACATTGAGTACACTGATAGTGTGCCGTATTTTTCATAACTTATTTATTATGTGTGTGCGAGAGCCTGAAATAGAAATATGTATTGTACTCAACTGTTTTTTACTTTTTAAGCGTGTTTTACTCCACTTTCTCTCTCTCCCCCGACCTCGCCTTGTTCACACAGAGAGAGAGAGAGAGAGAAAGAGAGGGGGATATATATATACACACACACATATATATATATATATATATATATATATATATATATATATATATATATATATATATATATATATAGAGACAGAGAGAGAGAGAGAGAGAGAGAGAGAGAGAGAGAGAGAGAGAGAGTATTCCAAGAATTTGGCTGTAACGTTTACTAAAAGGCCTTTATTTTCTTGTTTAGCTCTTTCAAGCCCAGATGTTTCGCAAGAAAACTTTACATCCTTATTAGATATTTCAGTGTACCCTACTGTGCTAAAGGATTGTAAAGAGAATTATGTTATCAGCTGAATGGGCAGATTTCTTTTTTTAGTAATTGCTGACCAACTGTAAAATTTAAAAGGACGCATTGTTTGAAGCAGATAAAAAGCAACCAGTCATATTCCTCTTGTTGCTTGGTAGGAGATAACAATGACAAATTGACATTGTTTAATCTGTGTCAACAGAGGTCTGTCATCAGGAAAGTGACGGGACCAAGCCCTTGAGGTGTCCCTCCGACCAGAGCCGGTGTCTCTATGACAGGCTGATCTGTGATGGGAACTCCGACTGTCCCGATGGAGAGGATGAGACTTTCAGTTTATGTGTACTTCGACACTGGGTATGTGTAATTCGTCACTGGGTTTTGTGTACCTCGTTACTGGATTTTGTGTACGTCACTGGGTTTTGCCTATTTCGTCACTCGATTTTGTGTACTTCGTCACTGTGTTTTGTGCACTTCGTAACTCAGTATTGTGTTCTTCGTCACTGGGTTTTGTGTAGAAAAATGGGGAGGGGGAGATAATTTGTGAATTAATATAAGCAATAGTATAGGTAATCTTAAGATCCGTGAAAAATCCCACTTTAAGTTTTGCGCATTCGGTCTCATCCTTTCCAGAGAATACCTTCTTTATCTTCTTGTCTTGTTAGTTGTCTGCTTTGTGTCGCTGGGGTCGCAGGTCAGAAGATGATAGGCATCTGAAGAAGGTTGCCATCTCTTGCTAGCTGTGTTTTGATATTGTGAAATATCAGGCTCTCTGTAACTTGTTCATTCGAGCTTCCTCTTGGTCTTCTTTTACCTCTTGGTGAATCAAATTATATGAACCAATTTAAAAAAAAAACATTTTTAGCAAAGCACCTACCTACTTTTCTGTAGTTTACTCTGCTTTGTTCCCCAGCCACATATATTTAATGTTACAAGTCAGTGTCTGTGGCGTAGGCGTTGCGAGCGCGCTTCTCAACTTCCTTGTGCCAAGTTCGATTTTCATTTGGCAGCACACCGCCTTTCGTTGCTTTCAATAGTGGTATTGACTGCCGACCGCTTAGAAAGTAATGGCAAACTAATCAAAGTGGAACTGCATAGTTCAATCACAAACTGCCAACAACAAACCAAAAAAAAAAAAAAAAAAAAAAAAAAAAAAAAAAAAAATTCTGTTGGTAATGCAAAGTCCTGTATAGGACAGGCGAATAACTTTTTTTGTATCTTGCAAGAAGGCCGCCATAGTGTGGTGGCGACGCGCTCAATAGCCAGCCTGAGAATCAAGGGTTAAAAGCCTCATCGAAGGGATTTTTTCCTCCCTCAAAGATGGACTAGGCACGCCCATCTTGAGCTGTTTATATTGGTCCTGACAACTAAATCATGGTACGTTTTGGAGGAGTCCCCTCGAAAATAGGTTACTGGAAGCGTTTCCATGTTGCATTGTGTGATATTTTAATATGCTTACAAAGTCCTGTGTTCTAAACGTATTCATATTACAAATCTACAAGCGGATATTGTAAAGTGGATATACAGCAATTTTAATTTTGATTTTAATTCACGGAAGACAGTCGTAATGTGATGTATGTGTCACTGTTTCTAGTCAGTAGTTTAAACTTTTGGGAACAGGCTGTTTATTCTTTTTTTTTACTTTAAATGTAGAAATCAAATTGTGAATAAATTGTGTCAAGATATTTCGGAGCTCTGGGTAAGTGCATACAAACTATATTTTATTTACTAACTAACCTCTCTCAGCATGTCACTCATTGCCTCTTTACTAATTGTTGACTAACAGTATACTTATATGTTATAGAAATACACTAATAATATTATTATTTTTGTGAATTTTCTGCCTTGCGAACACTGGCTGTAAACTCTGGCAGAAATTTCTGGTTGTTCATCTACTTCTTTTGCACATTTGCAGTTGTACAGTGTGTGTTCATTTTTGTGAATTTTCTGCTTCGCGAACACTGGCAGAAACTTCTGGTTGTTTATCTACTTCTTATGCACATTTGCAGTTGTACGGTCTGTGTTCATTTTTGTGAATTTTCTGCTTCGTGAACACTGGCTGTAAACGCTAGCAGAAACTTTTGGTCGTTCATCTACTTTTTATGCACATTTGCAGTTGTACGGTCTGTGTTCATTTTTGTGAATTTTCTGCTTTGCGAACACTGGCAGAAACTTGTGGTTGTTCATCTACTTCTTATGCACAATTGCAGTTGTACGGTCTGTGTTCATTTTTGTGAATTTTCTGCTTCGCGAACACTGGCAGAAACTTCCGGTTGTTCATCAACTTCTTATGCAAATTAGCAGTTGTATGGTCTGTGTTCATTTTTGTTAATTTTTTTGCTCGCGAACACTGGCAGAAACTTCTCGTTGTTCATCTACTTCTTATGCACATTTGCAGTTGTACGGTCTGTGTTCATTTTTGTGAATTTTCTGCTTCGCGAACACTGGCAGAAACTTCTTGTTGTTCATCTACTTCTTATGCACATTTGCAGTTGTATGGTCTATGTTCATTTTTGTGAATTTTCTGTTCGTGAACACTGGCAGAAACTTCTGGTTGTTCGTCTACTTCGTATGCACATTTGCAGTTGTACGGTCTGTGTTCATTTTTGTGAATTTTCTGCTTCGCGAACACTGGCAGAAACTTGTGGTTGTTCATCTACTTCTTATGCACATTTGCAGTTGTACAGTCTGTGTTCATTTTTATGATTTTTCTGCTTCACGAACACTGGCAGAAACTTCTGGTTGTTCATCTACTTCTTATGCATATTTGCAATTGTACAGTCTGCGTTAATTTTTGTTAATTTTCTGCTTCGCAAACACTGGCTGTAAACTTCTGGTTGTTCATCTAATTCTGGACTTCAGTCTTGTGTATGTTTCACAGCAGTATTCTGATGTGCTGAATTTGATAAAGTACAAATGTCAACCCTCCTCCCTCCTCCCCCGCCCGGCTCCTCTGATGCAACAGTACCCTCTCAGAATCAAAGAGTTAGTAATGATATTTCTTTACTTTTGCTGGAATAGCTTTCAGTCTATTTCTACAAGTTATTGATGTTTATGTTCATGTTGCCTGTAGCAAAAACATTTTTGTTTGTCTGTAAGAGTCTTTATTGTTATATTTAAATAGCCCACATATTTACCTTAAAAATGACGTATAGTTCTATCAGATATGTCGAAAGTGATTGAAATTGTAGTTTAATTAGTGTATACATCTCCTCGATAAAAACTGTTAACACAGAGGGACTCAATTATTGCACAAGAACGGGAATCCCCGTTGACCTAGTTGGCCTATAAATAGAGAAGGCCGTGGACTAGGCTACCAAGTCGACCCAGTCTAAAATGGGTAATATTTCGGGTCGGCGTTATGTTGACCACATCACCTATGAAGTGCCAATTTGTCTATAAAATATAGGTGTGGCCCTATGTTCACAATACCCCTGAAAGCAGGGGGGGGGGGTCCTTTTTTCTTTACTTTTACTATGATGCCCAATGTGACAAAAAGCGCGGAAAGGGGTTCTTTACTTTTACTGTAACACTCAATGTGACAAAGGCACGAAAAGAGTTCTTTACTCTTATCTTACAATATTGTATACAAATCTGCTTATGTTTGACTTCTTTCTGTAGATAACCATGTTGCTTGCTATTCTTTTCCCCAGATTTTTAAGTTTATGAGAAAGTTTGTCTCATCGTAATAAGCTTGCCAGAAAATAATGGTGGATGTAAACGATGTAGCAGCAGATGTACGACTGAAAGACAACAACTGGCAACTCCCTGTCAAATATGTCATCAAAACTAGCAGTGTTCTCGCAGACTCAATGAGCCAAAGCAAGCAGCACTGGGTTTAGATTTGATGGGGCCCTAAGATAGATATGCATTCCTGAGACCTCTGTTGTGTATACATATTTATCTCACAGCCTTCACTTAACGTGACTTTAATGTACCAAGTTAATGAAAAGGCTAGGTTGACGTGTACCAAGCTGATTATTGTATTTACTTCCATTAGGCTACATGTTAGAATAAATAAAAGTCAAATACAATATACCAGAAATATTTCTACGGTTTAACTTGAATTAGGATTTTAATAATTAAACTTTTGATACATTTTGGATATCAATATAAGAAAATTTAACTTAGATGCATAGTTAATATTAGTTATAGCTTAACTATGTCTGAGAAGCTACACAACCTTTTAGCTGCATATAGTAGTAGATTTTTACCCCACTTGGACATCACACAAGCGATAAACACCCGGTGACACAAAGTGTCACCATGTGGATGTGGATTACCGTGGAGAGGTTCCAGAAACCGCATTCAGCCATTAGACCATATTTATGGTCGGGCTATAATTGCGGCCCCTGGCAAGAGCCAGGGTGGAGTATCAAAATAACGAAAAACTGCATCTCTCAAGGAGATGACTAGATTATACTACAGCAAACTTACTGAAAACCAAAATGTGTGTCTTCGTTTCATGGAAGTGACTTGACTTGACTTTCTACACCACCAAAACATCACACAAGCGATAAACACCCGATGACACAAAGTGCCACCATGCGGATGAGGATCACCGTGGAGAGGTCCCAGAAACCGCGTTCAGACAATTGGCCATATTGATGGCCTGCCTATATTGCGGCCCCTGGAAAAAGCCAGAGTGGGGCTTCAAATAACAAAAAAATTACGTCCTAAGAAGGACGTAAGGAATTTTTAATACACATGGAAGTAAGTATTAAATAAACACACACACACACACACACACACACACATATATATATATATATATATATATATATATATATATATATATATATATATATATACACACACACACAACTTTATTTCTCTGTGATTTATTGTTTATATCATAGGTACGGAAGGCTAATGCAAAACTACATAAGATCTTATCATATTTAGATATCTTTAACCATTAGCCAAAACTTGCATAATTTATTATTTTCCAGCTGGTTCCCTCCCTTTAATTAACACTCTCATAATGCAATTTTTCGTTATTTTGACGCCCCACCCTGGCTCTTGCCAGGGGCAGCAATATAGCCCGGCCATAAATATGGTCTAATGGCTGAACGCGGTTTCCGGGACCTCTCCATAGGTGATCCGCATCCACATAGTGGCACTTTGTGTCATCAGGTGTTTATCTGGTAATCTGGTAATCTTAGTTTCAGCTTCATAGCAAACGGGTCACCCCATAGTTGCTCCGCTCTTGTGCCAATGAAAAGCACACAGAATGTTTATCACAGTTCCTTGTGTTTATCGCTTGTGTGATCTCCTGATGGTGTAAAATGAACCGCTGCTACTACTCCCTTTAAATAATATCAGACAATTTCGGTGGGGTGGGGTGGGTGGGGGTA